GTTGGAGTGAGGAGGGGTCTCCCAGAGTATCTCACACTCTGAAACACTCAGGAATGTGTCACAAGGTCCTAGAGCTCCATGGAATGACAGCCCTGGTGTCCCCAGTGTCATGGCTCTGGCTCAGCAGCAATGGGTACAAATTTGTGCCCTGTCTTGCTGCAGGCACATTTGAACATGCAATGGCATTCAAGTGTGTGCCCCCAATGTCACTCAGCCTCAGAGACCTCTGGGAGCTCTGGCAGGGGCACACACTGTGTTATGGGGGGGCTGGCCCCTGTGGCCCCACAGCCAACTAGTTCTGTAGGCAGCACCTGCCCCCACTCTGCTTGGCAGCATATTTCTCCTCCTCCTCCCCAGCCCTCAGAGCCACAGCTCTTTTGAGTGTGCTGGAGCAGCAAGATCCCTAGGTGATGGCAGGCTGGGTGTGCTGGGGGAACCAAGAAGTCTTGGTTGAGGAACAGGTGGTCCTGCCTTTATCTGCCCCTTCTCGCTGCATATATCCCAGTAGAGGCATGAAAGAAATGGAAGTTGTGTTTTCCCATCTGCTTCTTTAAATGTAGGTGCCCTATAGCTCAATCCTGAGCCTCAATGAGGTATGCTGAAAATACAGGAGGCCACAGTGAGGTCACTCATGGGTCATGAAGCAGCAAAACATGGTCTCTGCCACCACAGGGCAGGGAAGGAGGTTAATGTTTCACAGTGTAGTTAGCTGAGCAGAGTAGTTCTGTCAGTGTTTCACTCAGTGGAAATTATTTATTGACAAGGAGGGTTTCCAGGCTGTCTCAAAGAAAATTCTTTGGGAAACTGTTGGGATTTCTTCCAAGTTAAGAGCAGCTATTTGGATCATGAGTTGAAAACTGACCCAGGGGTACACACTCCTAGCAGTTACATTTAGGAAAGGAAAGATTTAAAAACTCTGAGGCAGAGCTGAGCACTTAAAAGGTAGAAGTCTTTGCCTCGATTCCAGTGGTAAAATGCCAAATTTTGTGATTTCCTGGACCAAATGCAGAGAAATAAAGAATATGAATAGGCTAAGTATGGAGTTCCTCATTACAGAAAAGGGCCACTTGAGAGTGCCTAAGATCTGGCTTCTCCTCAGGAGATCTAATAACTGAGGAAGCCCTCAGTTCAGTCCTCAGCCATAGCCTCGTGCTCAGCATCCTCAGCAACCTTCTTCTTCTGCCAGCTTTCTTTTTGTTTCCATTCCAATTAAAAAAATAAAAGGAGATGAAACTACCTGCTCTATTTTTAATCCTATTTGTCTGTAGATAAACTGCATGTTAGATGGATGATTCATAGATCTTTATCACTTCACAAAGTTTAAACTATAAAAAGCCTACTCCTCTTTTTCGACTCATAAACAACTATGTAAGCCTGGCTGCTGTTACTCGAAGTCTGAGTTAGGTACAGCACTTCTGAGGACATTTGTTAGTTCCTCACGTGGGCCATGTGGCCTTTGCAGAGCCAGAGGGGGATCTGTCCACTTGTGTGGCCTTCAGGAAACATGACTACCCAGTTTCATCGATGGATCTCATCTGGCTAAGCTGGGCAGGGGCACAGACTGTGCTTGGCTGTGCCAGGGGCTGGGCATGGCAGTCTGCACCTGGTGGTCATACCTTTAAACCCTTGTGTTGCTCGTTAAACTAGAATTTGCCCACGATGAGGGTTTGGGTTTTTTGGTGCTAGCACAGCTCTTCACACTGACCCTCTGTGCCTAGGGCAAGTGCAGCAGCCAGCCTTGCAGGGAGCTCCTCCATGTCCATGAGTTGCTCTGTGGCTGTGGTGGGGGCCTGATGCTTGGCTGTAGGAGACATGAATGAATGGTGTGATACCTTCTGAGAGACAAGTTAGGTTATTTCTCTTGAAATGAGACTCATCAAAGGAGCTAACTGCCACTGACCAATCTTTGAATTTTGTACTCAATCCTTCTCTAATTGACCCATGTTTTCTCCAAGGTGAATGGAGGCTACCCCCAAAATCCACAGAAAAGGCATTTCAGCACAAAAGTGTACCCAAAAGCAGTTGAGAAATTAGTGGTAGCCTCCTTGGCTAGAATTTCCTTGTTAATATTGTATTTTAGAAACAAAAAGAATTGGGTGAATTTGCCTGTTTATTTTGTTTTGTTTTTCACTAAAAGTGTAGGCTGGAATGGCATGGCATTTGGGCAGACATTGGACAAAGCCTGAAAAACCACTGACTACTTGTCAACAGAGGCTGGAGCCTCTTCTAAATAAAGACTATAGATTTGGATTAAGCTAGTAACTTCTGTCACTGGAGGAAGAGCAAATCTGAGCCTGAGCTCCTGGGCCTTCTCAAACCTTGTACATTGATCTGGTTGCCACCAACCCCAGCTGGAAATTGATGGTTGCCCATAAAGACAGGTATAAAAGCTGTTGCAATGTTGTATTTTATGGACGTTATTAAATCTGCCAACTGACCCAATCTGTACCTGAAAATGTTTATCTTCTATCACACATTCACCTTCAATTAACAATTTAGTGGTTGCAAAGACTTTTTAACCTTTGTCCACAGTTTTTCTTCTGATTTAAAATTATACATTACCCTTCTCTCCTTGTTAATGTGGATCACTGTGCTTCATGCAGTTCCTCTTTGAAATGCAGACTAAAAGGAAGGAGGGAATAGCAGTGAGACCTCTGTGGATTGCTAACCTTTTTAGGCTACTAGAGTTCAGTGGGAAAACTGGAGGCTGCTCTGCAGATTATTTTAGCAATTGTACATTAATGCCTTGAGAAATGGACAACTGCTTGCACAGGGAGGATTTCACTTCTGAAATTGTGTGTGTGTGCAGGGTGTGTAGGAGGATGTACAAGGAGGAAGGGAGTTTGATCTTAAATAATGTTTGATAATACTAGTATAGAAAGCAGCAAATATTTTGCATTCTAGTGGACCAGAACCAACCCCGTAATGTAGAAAGAGAGGTTTCCTACTTTAGGGACTCTGCTGCATCTCCCAGCCTTTTTCCTCAACTCTTCTGTGGCCAGTGACACAACTCGGCATCTGAGCTGGTTGAAGACTGAGCCCTCTGATCGCTGAGATACTTTGCAAAGGGTCTCTAACCTCATGGTAATCAGAGACTTGCTGGGGCTGCAACTGCCACTAGAGGCGGGCACAGAAGTTCAAGGAATTGGAGGACAGCTTCTGCCTCTACATGTGACTGGGAACATGTGAGTCCTGGCTGGGAGTGCTAAGAGGGTAGGTGGCTAATTCCAGCCTCGTGTAGCTGCCCTGCCCATGAGGCAGCTGCAGTGTGGAGCTGGAGGAAGGGCTCTGCCAGGAATTAAAGCCAGAGTGGCAGGTTTGTTCGTCCAGCATGCCCAAAATCCAAGGAAGAAGAGCTCAATCTCTTCTGTGTTAGCATAACTACCCATAGAAATAAGAGGGTATCTTCCTGCAGACTCTTGTCATCTACTCTTCTGAGCAGTCTAGATCAGTGTTGCCCACATCTCCAACATGCCAAGGGGTCTGATTTTGTTTTATGTGTAAACCTTTGTAGCAAGTTATGAAGGCCAGTGTTAAATGGTCACTCTACTAGGACACTGCCAATGGATGTGGGGAAGATCTGATGAGTGGTGTTTTCTGCGTGGAATTCATACCACAGATCATGTTGTACAGGATGCAGCAAATAAAATCTCTTTATCAGTCAGCTTAAAAGAATATCAACGTTAACTCAAGCTATTGGCAGACTTGGCTAATGAAATGAAAGGGGGGGAAGGGATGTCTTTCCTTGAATAGGAAAAACCAGAAAATCTGTGATGGAGACTGTACCACGGTGTGCTGAGAACTGGTATCACTGCATGAGTTTGGCATCTCTTCATGGTTGCACTTTGAGTACCTTGTATTTCCATGTGGAGCTCTAAGCTGAATGTTTCTCTGTGGATTAGTTCTGTTACAGATTTTTTTATTTAGCCTCATGGCCACTTCTGGAGTCTGTCTGTATTTCTGGTTAAATGGTTGCTTATTACTTTAATAGAGCTATATAGCCAACATGATGATGCTCAGCCAGGACTGTCACAGCAACACT